CTTTCTTTGGGAAAATCTTTCATGCCAATTTCAGACATCACAGTACAAAGCAAAAGGAAGAATCTATATCCCCCATTCAGATATTCTTTAATGCCATCCCAGGAGGCTGTCACAGACAAGTGGCTGCAATTCCCCCCGGTCATTAGCGAAGTACCCTTCGCTTCTCCGCCCAGGGGAATGCAGGCCCAGCCGCAGTGCAAGGGCCCACTCTGGCTCCCTTTCGGGGACAGAGGAAAACAAGAGCTCTGATGCCAGCGGCAGCTCACATTCACTGGATCACTTTCGCTTCTTTGGAAGCAGGCCGAGAATGGGAGCAGTCAGGCTGTGGAGGGCAGGCTCTCCAGTGCCTGGAGAGAGAATGAAAATGAGAGACCCTGGGCTCTATTCCTGGCTCTGCCCGACACCACAAACCCATCAATCAAACCAGCCGTAAAATGGATACATCCACCCGGTGCTGACAATGCAGCCAAAGGGTCTGCAGGTGCTTTGCCAAGCAGTGTTATTGGAGACCTCTAAAGCGGCCCTAGCAACCTTACTTTTCTGGTTTACACATGATAGTCTGGGCCGCCTTTAGGCGGAGAGAGAACCAAACCAGCCCATGCTCTGAACCCAATCCTGACCAGCCCCAGCGCTGCAGGGTCAGTCACCGAGAGCAGTGAAAAGCAGACAGTCTGTAGCAATGGCCGTGTCTAGAATGCTGTAGTTCAGCAGCTGTCGGCACGTCTGTGATGATGAACGGTGACCTTCCCGGGTTCAGAACTCGCTGCATTCCCGGGGGAGCTTGGCTCCCTTCTCCAGGCTGAGGGGAGCAGGTTAGTTTCGCTCACTCTTCCCCGCCGGCTGCATGCAGCAGCCGGCGCACTCTGGTCCCTTCCTGACAATCCCACCCCGCAGTCCTCACCACGTCCTTGCCCTGAGTTGCAGAGGTGCAGAGCACCTGGAGCTCCCATTAGCTTCAGCAGGAGCTGGGTGCTCATCACCCTCTCAAAATCAGGCCATCGTGTGCGTTCAACAAACTGGTTATTAGCAGTTTTAACGAACTCCTCCTTCCTCACCTGAGCTCATGCACCAGCGTCACCAAGTGGAGCCTGCACAGATCTCACAGGTGTTTGCAAAGAGGTCAAGTCACATTTTAAAAAGTTAAAGTTTGTCGGAAATTTCTGTTACAAGTAGCACTTAAGGGTCATATATATGGAAAGAAATATAAATAGAAGTGAAATGAAATAGAAACGCTTTGCCTTTTAGACGATACAGCAACAGGGGGCAGAGTCAGAAAACCATTACAAGTTGGCAGAGGACTCGAGGCCAGGCGGAGTAACCAAAACCACAATCGACTCATTTTAAGATGATTAGATTTTACGCAGACGCAGGGCCGGCTCCAGGCACCAGCTTAACAAGCAGGTGCTTGGGGCGGCCAAGGGAGAGGGCGGCACCTGCGGCAATTCGGGGGCGGCAGGTCCCTCACTCCCTCTAGGAGCGAAGGACCTGCCGCTGAACTGCCACCGCCGATCGCGGCTTCTTTTTTTTTTTCCTGCTTGGGGCAGCAGAAATGCTGGAGCCGGCCCTGCGCAGACGGGAAAGCCAACAGAGGAAAACTGACGCAGTGATTTCACTATGGCATCTATAAGACTGTTTGAAGAAACAATTCCCCCCCCCACCCCCCACCCCTTATCTTGAACTCTTTCCTCATTCACGTCAGGCTGCGTCCATGATTTCAAAGGACTCCGTTTGAATTTGGCCCCAAATTTACGTATTTTAGAATCAGCTTTGGGAGAGCTCAATGGGCCAAGAGAAGTGCTCCTGGACCATTTCTGTTTAATTCCAAGGGATGTGATTTAAAAGCAGACAGACAGCCTCTCCTGTGCTTGTAGCTCCCACGTGCCACTGCAGCATCGTGCTAGTGCAGGAGAATCTGGAAGTGTAACCGACATGCTTGTTACACGGCAAAGCATTCAGAAACGCAAGAAAGAAGGCAGCAGACACTACAGTGGATTTTTAACCTTTCCTTAGTACAGATGGTTCCCACCCCTACTCTAGCCCTTTAACACCAGTGAAACCAGACAAGAATTAGTGACACTAACTGTGGAAAATAATCCCCTCGACTGGATAAGCTGTAGTGGAATGGCCAACCCCCACACTGCCTTCACTGAGATGACAGACAGACCATGCTCCATAACAACTAGTGCCCAGCACTCTGAAAGGATAGGGACCGCACCGGCAACTTGCCAGGAGCCCACGGGACACCACATTTGCATATAATTCGATGTATGAGAGCAGTTCATTTTTATTATGTTTGTGCAGCCCACTGAAATGAGACCCAGCATAGAATGCTCCACCTTAATCCAAGCCCCCAAACTGCACTGCACCCTGGAACCTGTTGTCTCCACATTAAAGAGGGGGTCCCACGTGACATTTGCCCGCATGGATTAAATCTGAGGAAGCTTTGTGGCTGTGCCAAGCTGAAAATGTAGGGATTTACCTAATTTAACTATGGGCCTTATTCTGCTCCCAGTACAGCCAATGAGGAGTTTTGCCATTGACTTCAATGGGGATAGGACAAGACAAATAGGGAAGCCACTAAGGTCTGTGAATGGCAGATGTCACTAAAACTAGGATCTAAGCTGAAGCATTCACAGGAAGGTAAATGTTAAGTTTCTGGTAGGGCTAGTTTAACTCAGACTCGTGAAGTTACCTTCAGGCAGCAATACCACAGCTAAATCCTGGCTCCCCCCAAGAGCAGTTTTGCTTCTTCCTCTCTCTGCCTCCCACTGAGCCGCTCATGTCATTTTAAGAACGGACAGTTTTCTGCCCCCCATGTGTCTGTGGGGAAGCCCTCTCAGATACACCTCCTGCTGGGCTGCTCCTGTTGGGCCGTACCAGGTCGCAGCGAGCGCCCAGCGCTGGCTTGCTCGCCGTGGACAGATGCGAGTGACTGGAATGATCAAACCAGAGTTCAATGGTACCTGGACTCAGAGACCAGGGGAAGTATCTCCCTTCTCCACCCCCTGGTTTGGCCACTGGTTTTCTCATGCAATAGCTACAGAAGATGGTTGTCAAAGTCTGATGGGCCAGCTGATCATGTCTGACCTGAGGCCTGGGAGGGGCGTATCGGATGAAGAACTGAGAACGTGGCTCTCTGCCAGTTTTAAACTAGAGGGTTTGAATCAGCCCTGTCACAATGGGGAGGTTTCCCCGATGGGCTGCAGGAGCCCAGGGACGACAGGAGTCTGCCACAATTGCTCCCAACACAGGATGGATCCCACCTCCCACGCAACCACCCAGGGCAACCCACGAGATATTGAGAACCAACAACTAGTTACGGCTCCGTGATTCCCCGCCCCAGCTCTGATTAGAGCAGGTTAGAAACTAGGGATACTCCCCACCCCTCCTTCCCTCTGCAGCAGGGCTGCAAGGAGGGGGGCACAGCAACTAGTGCTGCCCTCTCCAAGCCCGCTGAGGACTCTGGGGTGATTTTCTACCCCTGTGTTGCAGCACTCAGGTAAAGGGAGCAGAACGGGGCCAATTTTCTGCCTTGAGTATTGATGGTGCCACCCCCCCATACCCTTAGCAGGAAACATGAAACCGATGTCAGAAGGACCCACTTAGGTCTGGTGTGCCAGGCATCGTTGTGAGGAAGGCATGGAGGAAGGATCTGAGATACGGCAGGTCTGACTCCATAAACAGCGCTGCCTCTCGCAGAGCCATGCACTTCAAGAGTAAACGTCGGTTTCCAGTGTCAATGCAAGTCACCTTGACTCCAGTGTCTCCAACGTACCGTTAGAAGAGTGTCCCCTAAAACACCCAGCTCTGAATGGTCACAGTGTGGCTGTGAGGTGGCTCTCCATTCAAATGCATGAGGGGAAGTTGCACCCTGGTAGTTCTATGCTTCCCTCTGATTACAGAGCCCATGAGAAAGTTCCCTCAAGCTTTTAGAAGGGGAGCCATCCTGATTCAAGGGCACACACTGAGACGTTTGTACCCAAGATCTGATCCGCTGAGATTTTTTTCTGTAAAATGCATTTGCGAACATGGACTAAATCGGTCTTTAAAAAAATCCGCCCACCAAGAGCTACATGAAAAGACAGACAACCTCTACAATCTGAAGTGAATGGTAAATTGCAGCTGCCAGCAATTTAAATTTTAAATGTACCTGCCAGCTGGGACTTATTAACAAGAAGTTAGACAGCAGTACCATCAAACACGCATCTCATGAATGTGGGTTACCCATGTCTTCCTTTCCACTCCTGCCTCACGCGGCTTGTTGCTCTGGCTCATCGGGTCCCCTCTAAAGTTCCTTGCAAACTCCATGGGCCAGAGACCATAACTTACTTGTTCTGCAAAGCACAAAACTACCTTCATGTGCTGCTTGAATAAATAATGCAGCACACGCAGCCCGGGAGGGAGAGAAGAGAAGAGTACGGCTGGTATAGGCTCAAGCAAGGCATAGTGAGGACCAGGGTGCCATGCAAACTGCCCCCATGCAGCCATGCCAACAAACCTGCAACCTCACTGGGACCAACCCACCTCCCCAGCCACAGTCAGCCTGGTATTTAAGTGCAGAACACGGATGTCAAAGTCTGACAAGCTGGGGTGTTTGGGACAACACCAACAAATGGGGCTGACCAGGCAAAAGCCACCGGACTAGTTTCTCTTTTGACCTGAGGCAGGGTCTGAGCTCTTTTCCAGACACGAACACTCCATACTAAAGGGCAAGCTTGGCACACAAGCAGGGGGAAAGGGTAATTAGAGCAGTTAAAACAGCCTCAGTTGGGCCTAGAGACTGAAGTACTGAGGTCTGTAATTCCTGCAGACAGGAACAGATGTTGGCCTGTAAAGCAAAGGGAGAACACTCCACTCTGTAGATCTCTCTTGCTTTGGCTTATTACACCCTATGTGACCTTCTAATCCCGGGCAAGTTCATCACCCTTCTCATCTGTTCTGTTCAAACTAGCAAACTCATCTCCAAGGAGCACTGCGGCGGGGAGCTCCCACTGACCCACCTCTTTAAGACTGATCATAGCCGTGTAGACCACGTTTGTGCCGTCTCGCTTGAAATGCGTGTGAGGCTTGTCCTTGAGAATGAAGACGATATCGGCAGGGATGTTGTCTGGCGTGGCATCTCCTTCTTTGGGAAAGGTGATTTTGGTTCCTTCTTTCCACCCCCTTTTAATGACAATGTTCAATATCTTATCCTCGGTCCTCGTGGTTCGCCCGTCAGGGTTCAGCCGCCGGCGGGTGATTTTCATCCTTTTGGTAGAGCCGTGGTAGATTTCTTCCAGGGAGACCCTGAGCTCGTGGACGATGGGTGGGTCCTGGACCTTCCTTCGTGTGTGGAGAGACTCCGGGTGCCGTCGATGAACTCCGTTGATGCCATTGAAGCCGAACCGTCCAAAAGCGTTGAAAGGGTCATCGTCGTCATCGATATCCATATCTTCCTGATCGAAGCCATTGAACGCCCGGGAGCGACTGCTGGCAAAGAAGATGTCGAAGGGATTGGAGCCGCCGAAGAAAGAAGCAAAGGTAGCGTGCGGGTCTCCGTGGAAGGTGTAGTGGAAAGTGTTGCCGGAGCCGCCAGAGGAACCGCCTCCAGTTTTGAGCCCTAGAACACAGCAAGGAAAAGACAACGTTAACATAATCCACGGAAGAAGGCCGTTCCCTTCTAGTCCTGCGTGAAGCACAGGGAATGCAGACAGAGCGACGGCTGGGCCACCCTGACTAGACTTTTATTGTTTTTTTCTAATACGCAGCATGGGAACCAAAGGTGGAATTCAGTCTTGGTGTTGCAAGCTGCCTTCTACCACTCTCTGGGCAGTAGGGTCCCACACATCCCCCCTTCACCCCCAACCTGGCCACAATCTGTATCCCTTCTCCGTTGGAGAAACTAGCTAGCAGGAATACAGCTGAGCAATCTTATCTTCCCTGGCTGGAAGGTGAGCACCACAACTAGTCTACAGGGTGCGGAGAGTCGAGATGCAATTCTGTTCTCAACCCTTCGCTGGAGCTCGAGTTTGCAGTGGATGCTTTGTAACTGGGGCTCATGTTAAATGGGCATGAAACAGGCAAGTTTATACAAATCCTGTGTTACTAAGGAGAGTAAGTAGCCAGCCAGACTTCTACCACCACCTCCAAGCTGATGAGTATCCAAATTCTTAGCCTGTCTCCCACAAACACTTGATTGTATTCTCTTTGTTCCTAGTACTGGAACCAGTATTTGCCAGGGGATAACACAAGGGAAAAAGACGTATTTATGACTGAGAGCTCTGGGAGGCTCCATTTCTAGAGACACATGCAAGCAGGGGCGGAAGGTTTGTATAATTTTTGTTGGTGCCCAGAACAGGTCCAAGTCCCGCCTGCCCCCGCCTCGCACCTGCCTAAGGCTCTGGGAGGGAGTCTTGGTGCAGGAGGGGCTTTGGGGTGCAGACTCTAGGCTGGGGCAGGGGGCGAGAGCTCTGGGAGGGAGTTTAGGTGCGGGCTCTGCACTGGGGCAGGGGACTGGGGGTGTGTGGGAGAGGGTGAGGGGTGCGGCGCTTAGAATATATGGAGATATACCTATCTCACAGAACTGGAAGGGACCCCGAAAGGTCATTGAGTCCAGCCCCCTGCCTTCACTAGCAGGACCAAGTACTGATTTTGCCCCAGATCCCTAAGTGGCCCCCTCAAGGATTGAACTCACAACCCTGGGTTTAGCAGGCCGATGCTCAAACCACTGAGCCATCCCTCCCCCCCACTTACCTCAGGCGGCTCCCGAAAGCGACACACACCCCTGTAGCAGCGCCTCCTAGGCGGGGGGTCTCTGCGCACCGCTGCCCACAGGCACCAGTTCCCAGCCAATGGGAGCTGCGGAATCGGTGCTTGGGGCGGGGGCAGCACGTGGAGACAACCCGTAACCCCGGGGCCGAAGGGACATGCCGGCCACTTCCGGGAGTGGCAAGGAGCAAGGGTGGGCAGGAAGCCGCCTTAGCCCTGCTGTGCTGCCGGTGGTGGTGGCGGCGGCCCCCAGGGCCTTTTAAATTGCCGGGAGCAGCAGGCGGGGCCGGGGGAGAGACCTGGTCCCAAACATTGGTGGAGCCGGGTCCTGAATGTTCCTGGAGCACAGGCACCACGGGCCCATATAACTCGCCGCCCCTGCATGCAAGGCTCTTAAGCATCATCTTCCCGTGTTCCTTCCTTCTGTACTGCAGGAAGCAATTCAGTCTCTGTAAATCTGTTAAATTTCACAGCACGGTAACTGTTGGAGTCCAAAGACCATATGGACTAGGCAGCTGATGGCTCTTTGAGACTAATTTAGCGACACAAATGAGAAGTCTAAGTTCTGCCAAAGGCAGTGCTGAGTACTCTCTGTGTGTCAGCAGCACATCACCCCTTGAACACCCCGTTCGTGCTGTGATCTATTGCATCTCCCCAGGCGTCTGAATTGCGCCATGGACTCACGGGCCAGCAGCAGCACACGTAGCAATTTATGAAAGGCTTTGAACTCAGCGAGCAATTGTTTAGTCAGGGCTAAATGATGGGAGGTCAGCATTATACACTAGCTAGCCGCTCCACCACAAACGTGCACGCGAGTGAGACCCACGCTACGCTCTCAGATGAAAGGGGCCAACATGAGGGCCACAAAGTACTTTGCAAAAAGAGTCAAGGCTCAACAACCAGAGAGGTTAGTATCAGATCTTGTTGATGGCAGACAAGTGTGAGGGGGGATGATGGATCTTTGTTTTTAAAAAAGACTCGCTTTCCCCTGCTCCGTGACCAGCCCAGGTTGGTGGGTGGAGGGACGCTCAGGAGCAGAACCCAGAGATACAGCAAATAAGTTGGGTGTTTATTTCTTTTGGTAACTAGCAAAAGATCTTCTTCAACCAGGGCTTCTCTCAGGCCCCGCCCGCTCCTACTTGATTCTGCACAGACACCCTACATTTAGATCTGTCCACAGCAACCCCCTGGATGTTCCTACACAGCCAGGGTGTGAGGCAGATACACTTTTGAGAGGGGCTATCTGCAATAAAAAGACAGAGGATCACGAAGGTGCCCAGCAGGTCAGGCAAGGCTGGGGGTAGACTACTTCCAATGTCCCCTTCACATTGCCACATGCTTCGGGACGTTGTGTCAAATATTTCTGATTGGAGGGGTCAAGAAGGAGTCTAACCAAGCCCAGCTCGGGGTCTATTTTCAGCTCTCCACTTACAAAATAGTGCTATTTCTGAAAAGCTGACGTCCTGTGCCAACCCCTCTAGTCAGAGCCAGCAGCAGGAGACGCAAGCCAGGCAAACGCAGGACAGTCAAACTCGCTGTTCTTGACAGAGGAGTTTGCCCTGGGATGCAGAGGTCTTTTGTTGGCTTGAATACAACACACATAAGCAAAGACTCCTCATCTGCCAGCCACACCCCTTAAGCCTCTACAACACTATGCAAAGGGGACATAGGCTTGGAAGCACATGTCAGACCAGTACATATCCTGAAACTGACCTGCATCCAATTTAATTTAATCTGCAAATATTGTTCTTTTCTTTTGCCCAAGGCCTTGGGGGGGCGAGGGGTGCTGTGCTGTCTGAGCCCCCTTGCCCAGTCCTGCAATAGCGTCACAGCAGGTCTCCTTCTACCCATACTAGCCTGCCGGGCCTGATCTAGCGTCCCAAACCTGGCACAGAACGGAACTGAGGTCCACCCCCAGTGCTTTCAAGTAGGTGATTAGACAAACACCCCACCTCTCCCCCCCACCCCATCAGAACATCTACGTGTTCCTCCAGCAACAGCTAATGCTGCATTTGTGTCACAGCAACACTCAGACATCAGCAGTTTGATTCTGCTGTGGAACGGCGCAGAAGGCACGAGCCGGGCTCACGTGAGCAGAGAGAGGCTGTCTCTGTGCACGAGAAGGTACTGGCAACCACCAGCGGGGCACACCGAGACTCAGGGCCCCTCTCTAGGTCTGCCTCCCTCCTGGGCACGCTACTACAAAGGCGCCAAACTACCGTTAACCCTTCTCTCCAGGCTTCTGGAAAGGGAGGCGTCCAGTGACCAGCGTGGGTGAGTCTGTCTGTCTATACAAGGCATGTATCTAGCCCCCATCACTGCCGTATGGGAGCACCTCACAATCCACTGAGGGGGGCAGGGCTGTCAGCCCTATCGCACAGAGAGGCTAAGGGACTTGCCCAAGGTCACACAGGACGCCTCCCTTTTCAGAAGTCTTAAGAGATGGGTTAGCGCGTTTGGTGCCGTTACATGGATCCAGGTCTCCCAGTCCCAGAACCCTCCCTCCTGAACCCACCTTCCTCTCATCCCACGTAAGCTCCCCAAGCAAACCGAATGCAAGGGGTGTGCCGGGCTTGGCCTCTCCTGGGGAGAGGGGTCCGTTTCATTAGCTATGGCCACGCGACAAGCCCCTTCTTCCTTGGGGGGAAGCGAGTGTCAGTGTTTGATCCCATCCCAGGGTTCACAGCCCCGCGCGAGGGTTCTGAGTCCACGTGTTGCTTTGTGAATGGGTTGGTTTGGTTCAGAAACAGCTGGTCAGATTCTCCCCTCCACGCCCAAAGAAACAAAGCCATTCATTTCCTCTTGCCTCCCCTCCTGGCCAGGAGCAGCCACGCTTTGCCAGGATGCCACCCGTCAGTCTGAGGTGCCGGCAATGGAAGAACCCTTCACAACTGGCTCTCTTGGACCAAGGCTGCTCAGACTTTTGACGTGGCCATGTTGACTTAGCTGCTCCTGCAGGGCAAGCTAGCCCTTCCCAACCCACCGAGAGGCGGCACGCTTCAGATTTCATGGTCCGCCACAAAGGGGAGAGATGGGACGAGTCTGTGTTGGCACCCAGTAAAGGCTCCTAACAGAGGAGAGCAATGAGAGGCTCGTTTGCACAGCCCATGGCATGCGACAGTGGTGAAGCCCAGAACGTTTCCATTGGCCCTAGTAGTATAAAGGAGGAAGCAGACGGAAATCAGGGGAAAATGCCTATCCCCGTTCCTACTTCCACCCCTTGTCCTAGGGGCTCGGGTGCAGAAGAGCTGAGGCCTTATTACCCCTAATCCTCAAAGGCCAGTGATTACCTGCTGTGTCATCACCTGCCGGAACTCAGCTGTGCACGTGCGGGAGCTACGTGGCGCCGGCTAGAAGAATTCTATCCAGACCACAGTCAAAGAGATGAAACATAGATGAAGGGGAGGGGAGGGAGACTACAGGACAGATCTTAGCTCCTGAGCAGGGCCGTGGGGAGTCCTTTCTGTCCAGCTCAGCGCCATGAAAGTTCACAGGGTAAGGAGCAGCTGACACCAAGAATAAACTCAAGTTCTCAAGTACAGTTGGCGTTTGAGCCTCGCAGCTGCAGGGGCAGTGATCTCTGGAGGGTGATTCCACGGGATACGCTGGCAGCCTCAGCGTCCAATGGGAGAAAATGAAACTCGCTGCCGACCCCCCTGAATAATGGCAAATTAAAGAATGTGGAACCCAAAAGGTGAGATGAAGGACCAGACGCTGCCCATACTGTTCCTCCCCTGATCCCACAGGGACCATCGCCTGCTGGCATGGCCAAGGGCGAAGTCTCGGCGCTAGCACTGTGTATTTATTCTGATTGCTAATCCAGCACTGAAGCAGTGTGGCACGACTAGGCCCCTACCAAATTCATGGTCCAGTTTGGTCAATTTCACAGTGAGAAGATTTAAAAAATAATAAACGTCATGATTTCAGCTATTTCAATCTGAAATGTCACGGTGTTGTAATTGTAGGGGTCCTGACCCAAAAAGGAGTTGGGGGCGGGGGGGTTGCAAGGATATTGTGTGTATGTGGGGGGGCGGGTTGCGGTACTGCTACCCTTACTTCTGCGCTGCTGCTGGTGGCGGCGTTGCCTTCAGAGCTGGGCGCCTGGCTAACAGCCGCTGCTCACCAGCCCCCCAGCTCTGAATTCAGCGCAGAAGTAAGGGTGGCAATACTGCAACCCCCTAAAATAACCTTGTGACCCCCCCACAACTCCCTTTTGGGTCAGGACGCCCAGTTTGAGAAACGCTGGTCTCCCCTGTGAAATGTGTATAGTATAGAGTAAAAGCCCCCAAAAGACCGTAACGCGTTTTTCATGGCCATGAATGTGGTAGGGCCCTAGGCACGAGGAACATGCCCTGGGATGGAGCACTAAGCAGGACTAAGCCTAGACAAATTAGAGGATTGGGCCAAAAAAAACCTGATGAGGTTCAACAAGGACAAGTGCAGAGTCCTGCACTTAGGACGGAAGAATCCCATGCACTGCTACAGACTAGGGACCGAATGGCTAGGCAGCAGTTCTGCAGAAAAGGACCTAGGGGGTCACAGTGGATGAGAAGCTGGATATGAGTCAACAGTGTGTCCTTGTTGCCAAGAAGGCTAACAGCATTTTGGGCTGTATAAGTAGGGGCATTGCCAGCAGATCGAGGAACGTGATCATTCCCCTCTATTCTGCATTGGTGAGGACTCATCTGGAGTACTGTGTCCAGTTTTGGGCCCCACACTACAAGAAGGATGTGGAAAAGTTGGAAAGAGTCCAGCGGAGGGCAACAAAAATGATTAGGGGGCTGGAGCACATGACTTATGAGGAGAGGCTGAGGGAACTGGGATTGTTTAGTCTGCAGAAGAGAAGAATGAGGGGGGATTTGATAGCTGCTTTCAACTACCTGAAGGGGGGTTCCAAAGAGGATGGAGCTCGGCTGTTCTCAGTGGTGGCAGATGACAGAACAAGGAGCAATGGTCTCAAGTTGCAGTGGGGGAGGTCTAGGTTGGATATTAGGAAACACTATTTCACTAGGAGGGTGGTGAAGCACTGGAATGGGTTCCCTAGGGTGGTGGTGGCATCTCCTTCCTTAGAAGTTTTTAAGGTCAGGCTTGACAAAGCCCTGGCTGGGATGATTTAGTTGGGAATTGGTCCTGCTTTGAGCAGGGGGTTGGACTAGATGACCTCCTGAGGTCCCTTCCAACCCTGCTGTTCTGGGATTCTATGACAGGCTGCCTTTGAACCCCGCTCCTGTCACAGAGGGCACCTGCCAGCAGGGATGGGCTTGGAGAGGCTCGGAACGGGGACAGTGCAGACAGGGTGCATGCAGCGAACACATTGCTTCAGCAGCAGTTTAGATCCCCTGTTCAGTTTTACATCGGCCCCAGGTTTGCATGGAGCTGGGCTTCCTCAAGGACCAAGCAGCGTTTAAGAAAGCTCCACCCTCTCCTGGCAGCAGGGGAGCAGACTGGGATATCCACAGACCTGGGGAAGCAGCAGGGTGCAGGGAGATGAAAGTTGAGGTCACAGCAAAAGCCCTAAGGTGACCAACCTTCCTGGTCAGACTGAGCCACGTCAGCAGTTTCTGGCCTCATTTAGCATCCCACATGCTCATCTAGAGCGTCTATTAGAGAACAGCTTTTACTGGGGAGTCTGAACAGGGCAGCACAGGAGCAAGGGAGAGTCAGGACTATTAACCCTCAGCCAGTCCTTCCCTCGGGGCCCTGGGAGGTTCTTCTCCAGGGTCGTTTTTCTAGAGCTTTATACAGTGCTTAGTGATGGGACTCTCCCGTCTCCCGCGGGGAGCCTCTCTCACCCTCAATTCAGCCGTGTTTGCCTTTCGATTTAACCCCCCCACTCCTAGGTACACCCCAACTGAAATAAAAGTCGTGTTCGGATTAACCCCCCCAGGTGGTTTGTTTCTTCACTGGAGGCAGGCGATTCTGATTTTAGACAGCAGACTGGTGCGGTTCAGACAGTCCATCGCAGCAGTGACATACTGAACTGGCTCAGTCATGGGCAAGTGATTTTAAGAGCGAGAACTGCCAGGATGGAGATTTTCTACAACTCTTGCGGGTCTTTCTTACTTGCTTAGATAAACCAGAAAAACTAGCTACCCCAGCTCCCAGTAAAGCTTCCAAGCCTCGCACTGGGAATTACAGCAGCCCCACCTTCTGTGCAGCACGCGGAGGCTGCAGTGAGAGCGCCTTCCTGTCACCAGTTCCCAAAGAAGCTCTTCAGTTCTCTTCACACGTTGCTGATGTGCCTAGTTCTCCCATGCCCACAGGGAGAGGATACATAGACTCTTGCCACTAATCATTCAAACAGCATCACGCTAAGAACAGAGACTTTGGTCGCTAACTGCAGAGAGATCCCTTTCTGCTCCCGAGGGCACAAAGGTATCTTTGACCCCTGCAGATTTATGGTGAGGCCTCAGAAAAGCTGATGCACCTACTCATTAAGCCTGCTGGGGAGAATACATCTTGCTCGCGGAGCAGCCTGTTTATACCAGACCTTCTGCTCTTTTAAGTGCTAAACTCTTTTGCTGATTAATGCAAATGCTATTCTCTGCTCTCTTCATCCTCAGCAAATAGGGCTGCAGAAGCTTTCATATTCTACTAATAAGGCTGTGCGTGGTGGAACAGCTCCCTACTCCATGCCAACAGGGAGACAACAGCAGCGACTTAGTTTCAAAACAAGAATCTATTACTTAAATTGGGAAAGGCTTTGAAACATGTAGGTCAGTACGTACCAGCAAGAACAAAGGAAAGGGGAAAAAAAGAGTGGGACTAGTGCACAAGTAACACCACTGCACAGACACACTAAGCCCCAGTGAAAGGAAAAAGCGGGCAAAGAGTGTCTGTAGCTAGAGAATCTGTGCGAAGGAAAGAGTTAGTAGTGAGAGTTATTCTGCAGCCCATATTTGATCAAGGATATAAACACCTTTCATTTCTATGCTCTCAAGAAGCCTTCAGAATAACCGGGTGAAAAGCGAAGAAGGGCCCATTTCGTTCATGAAGCTATCAGAGTGAGCGGCAATGACTGCCTTGATATAGGTCCCCGTACATCCTTCTGCCTTATCTAACTGGCATCTTTGTGTGATGAGGGCAAGGAGTTGGGATCGCATGCTGAAAACTGGCTTTGATTGGCCACAGAATAATTAGTCGAGAACTGGGTCAAGCGATTATCTTTGGCTCTTAGGAGAGACGGCATCGTCTGGGTGTTTGTTCTTCCCAGCTTTGGTAGTAGTAACCTTGTTTCAGAGGCAGGAATGAGTCATGGGGATAATTCCGGACACGCTACCCACGCCTGTGAACATTCGCTACTTTTTTTACGTATAAACGCTTTCTTGCTTACAGCAGCACATTTAAACCCACCCGGCTAACTGGGTACTCACACGCCTCCAAGCCATTCACCATCCCAGTCCCTTACCTTCTTCCCCATACTGATCATAGACAGCCCTTTTCTTGGGATCACTCAGGACATCGTAGGCCTCTGCGATCTCCTTGAACTTCTCCTCTGCACTGGGGTCTTTGTTTTTATCAGGGTGATACTTCAGGGCCATTTTCCGATAAGCTTTCTTGATCTCATCTTCGTTTGCTCCAGACTGGAGCCCCAAGGTCTTGTAATAATCCTTTCCCATGACTGCGACGTTGCCTCCGGTCGAGTCTTTATTCCTGAAAGGAGACAGACAGTGCTCTGTAATGCATGTATTGCCCGACAACGTTAGGGGAACCGGCAATTCTCCTGCTCCCCCCACCACAGACTTACCCCAGACCAACCTCATGTTCCCATCACAGCTCTCCATAACCTTTGCCCAATTTACATCTTACACATTTTCTGTTAAGGGACCAATTCAAGACCCTGCAACACATTTCACCATGTCTAGTGGTCCGAGCAGGGCATCGGGAAACAGGCCCACTCTGCCACTCATTTCACCTTTCTGTGCCTCAATTTCCCAACCTGTAAAATGGGAATCGTGATGCTCCCCCGTGGTGACGTGCGTTGAAGTTTATGGATACAAAGTTCTAAGCTAGTGCACAGTACTGTTATACGGCAGATCTGACTAATAATGTCACATGAGGCTGTGACCTGAGCAGCAGTTCTGCCCACCTACGAATGGGTGGGGGTGCATGGGGGAGGGAAGTCTAGGGTGACCAGACAGCAAGTGTGAAAAATCGGGACAGGGGGTGGGGAGTAATAGGCGCCTATTGGGACTGTCCCTATAAAAAAGGGACATCTGGTCACCCTAGGAAAGTCTGAACTCAGCAGCCCCTCTCCCAAGAGCAGCAGCCTCACATGACTTCACGAGCAAGGTCCTCCGCATGCCTGGGTCCTCCAGGGAAGGAAGAAACCAGGACCATAAATTTCTAATGCAAAAAACAAGCAGAACTTTAACCAAAAAACCCAAACCAATTTGAGGTGACCCTTTTGCCTCAGTGCTAGGGAAGAGTGAGAACCAAAGGGGCTTGTGTGCTGTGCAGTTCACCTTAAAGGAACTTGAAACATTTTGTTCTGCAAAGTGATTGGCGTTCATTTGGGGATAAGTGCTTCTCACCACGCAAGAGCTGTAATTTGTATGTAAAGACGACAAAGGATGAAGCTGTTAGATAGAAATATCTTGTGATGATGGGAAGATATTTATAAAGTGTTTTCTAGCCTAGCTAGGACTGTGTTAGAGAGTCTGCAACTAACAAATTATGTAGCCGTAAGTTAGAAATATCAGTAACCCTAGGCATGGCTAAGTCTCATATCCTGACACAGTGCAATGAAGTCAGCCACACATAATAAACTCACTGGATTCACTTTCTCCGTGGCATGGGACAGCCTGAAGGGCAGGGAGATGGCATAGGACACCTAGCTGGCCCAGAACCCAGGAAAGGGACCGGGGCAGACAATGGCATTCCACAGGCACCAGGCTGAAGACTGAAAGCTGTCAGAGTCCTGGAGAATCGTGAGAGCAGCTGGAGATGTACACATGCTCAGAGATCTAGGGCAGGAGTTATGGCAAAGGCTCAGCAAAGTTCACATTTCTCAGATGTCTCTTCCCAATATCCTGCTTCCTAAAGAGGCACATTCAGCGCCTGAGTGAGGAAGGTGAGCGAGAATCGATTTCCTGTTAATCAGTTCCATTGGTAATTAGAACTAATCACCCCGTATGTGGCAGTAGGAATTGCTGGAAGCACACCCAGAATGGCAGGCCTGCACGCAAGTAGCGTAGGAGTTCTATTGTTAGAGACAGAAGAAGGCCTCTGGGGGCGTAAAGAGCATCCCACAGCATTCTCCCAGCCCAGCTTCTAAATGCCAGCACGTTTCCGGACCCATACACCCCCAAAGCATTGCAGCTTCTGCACTAGCAGCACCTGCATTTCAAAAACCCACCCAGACCGTCCCAGATTCTCTCTCCCTTGCCCACAATGCTGGTCTGCTGGCTCCTAATACTTCGCTCACTACATGCAAGGGGGAAAACACAATGGGACTGGAATGCCAGTGAGCGAGGATATTGAGCTGAAAGCTTGTTTTCCTCGGTAGCCAGGGGCTAACGTCTCCGATACACTGCCTTTCCTCTCCACGCACACGCACAAACGCCTGTGCGGGCTCTCCGCATCTTGTGATTAGCCTACCATAACATCCTCTTGGCTGGCTTTGACAGACCCCATCTTCAATTTAAAATCCTGCCACCACGATAATTTTCATAGCTCCTCGCTTTGACCATGTCACCTCTCTCTTTGCACCCCTCTGCTGGCTCCCCGTTCTCTATCCTGCCAACAGAAAGTACTTGCCCACACTTTCAAGGCCCTTCATGGCCTATCCCCATCGGCTCTTATTCACTACTGAGATGTTGACTCCTCCCTCCTATTGGCCAGTGATGCCAGCCTTCATCACTCAATTCCTAAGTCTTTAAACAAGCACCTCCACGCTTTCTCCCACGCTGCCCCTCACACGGGTAGGCACTCCCCATACAGATCCCCACAGCTATCTCCTGGCCCTCCTTCACACTCTGCTTTGCCGTGATGCCTATGACAAACCAGACAAGGAATACAGAGCTGGTGTGCTAAGACCATGCCTGTCCTGCTGACCAATATTGGGGATATCGACACCTCCTGGTGGAGATGTAAATTCCAGCTTGAGGAGACGGACCCGCGCTAGCTCTGATCAAGCTAGAGGGCTAAAACATCGCAGTGTTGCAGCGACGGCGCGAGCACCGGGAGGCGTTAGCCACCCTGAGTGCACACCGCCCAAGATGGTAGGTCTGTACTAGGGGTGGCTAGTCCTCCTGCCGCGGCAGCTACACTTCTGTTTTTAGGGTGACGATGTTTCCTCAAACTGGAATTTATGCCTCCAGCTCAGTGTAGACAGACATCCCCTTGTCTTATTGTTTCCTTGTGCTTCTTCATCCATCTGTTCACATCCACCTGCTGTCGCCCATCGTACACTTATGTTGTAAGTGACTAGAGCCAGGGACCATCCTTTTGTTGTGTCTGTACGATGTTTAGTGCAATGGGGTCTCGGTCTGTGACTGAGGGTTCCAGGCACTATTGCAAAACAAATAAATAAAACAGACAGGCCAATGGTCATCTAGCTCAACATTCGATCGGAGAGTGGGCCATGTCAGATGCTTCAGAGGAAGACAAACCTCCCATCATGTACCTAACCAAGCAAGAACAAGCCACATAGAAAGAGGCACATTTCTTCCTGACCCCTGAAGCATGCTCAACCTATGCCCTGAAGCATGAAGATGGAAAGCCTTGAATGTTATCCCGGTTGCTGTAACTGCAGATGCTATTAGTTTCTAACTAATCTGTTTTAGTACTCTCACCTCTGGATTAGTGGAACACAAAAGTGCAGGACTTTGGTTCCTACCCAATGCAGACAGTCCAACCCTGGGGAGGGAATTACCCTGCCAAAAAAGACTGATTCTTTCTGCCGGTCTCTGGCAGAAGTTAAAGATCCTAGACACACTTTTACAAGAGAAAAGGACGGTTCCAGTCCCAGAAGCTTGACCAATATTCTCTCTCTCAAAGACTCCTGTTTCCACAAAGGTGTATTTGTCCACACAGTTACTGCACCACCAGTACTGGGCTATCTAATAAAGCCAGCTTCTATTCTGCTCCTACAACGCGGCCACTGTAAGCTCCTGGGAGGGGTAGGAAGCATAGGGGAAGGACTTGCAGGTCATGCAAGAACCTCATTTGATAGGTAATCACCCTGTTCTAATCACATTGTGGGTGCCCTCCTTAATGTCCTTCATCAGGTTGGGGGAAGAGGAAAAAGAATCATAGAATCTCAGGGTTGGGAGGGACCTCAGGAGGTCATCTAGTGCAACCCCCTGCTCAAAGCAAGACCAATCCCCAGACAGATTTTTGCCCCAGATCCCTTTACATGGCCCCCTCAAGGGCTGAACTCACAACCCTGGGTTTAGCAGGCCAATGCTCAAACCACTGAGCTATCCCTCCCCCCCGAAGAAGAAAACGTGCAGTAGCGTTTGACGCTGTAAAGTCTTTTGTCTGACTACTGCCCACGCTCAGAGAGGCTTTTTCAAGCAGGGCAGCTGAGAAAAAAGCAGCCTGCCGAGATTTCCCCAGAAAGGCGCCCAGAGCAGGGGCGGTTAGATGACCGGTCTCAGAGAACATCACAAAATCTTGCAGGTCATTCAGTGGGTTAGCCCCCTTTCTGACGCAATCCTGCATGTATGCATTGATCAAACACGACTCTGCCCCTGTAATAGCTCCCCTCCCACCCGCCCAGGATCAGCTGTCTATTTCCACAACTCTTCTGTCAGATTCTGCTGGATCGCACTTTAACTCTGAATCAGCCAGGAGGCATTCTGGGCCAAGATTTTCAAAATGGACTAGTGATTTCGGTGCCTGATATTTCAGGTCCCAGCTGAGACACTGCAAGGTGGATTGAATTCCAGAAATTACTGAACACCCATCCTTGAACATCAGGGACCTTTCAGGAATTTCAAGTTGGTGACCCAAAAACTGAGGTGCCTCAAATCACTAGCCACTTTTGAGAACCTCGGTCCTAGCCTCAGTCCTAGCCTAGCATGGCATCAGACAGTGCGACTTCTGGGGTCAGTGAGACAGTGGATATCAATCATTTGATACAATCATCCTACTAAGTTCATGTAAAGCAGCAATCCTACATGGATGGATGAGGTCATAAGATTTTCCATTTCTAACTTCTGATTCTGTGGTCATGACATGATAACAAAGACCATTCACAAGACAAAGATGGGTGCTGATGGAGAGCTCTTTGGTTTGTAACACATTTGTCTTCATTAATGAGCATTTATGGAGAATACACAAGCATGAGACAAGTAAACTGACTTACCGAAACTTTAGAAACATATTCAGTGTCCAAGCACTCATTTTTAAAGGCTCTAACTTTATTTTAAACATCAAACTGGCAACAAATTCTTCAGTGCTGACAGTTACCAAGACTTCTTCTGGTCTGGAATGGGTGGCGGTACGGGATGAAGAGAAGCGAATGACTCACTCAGAGCATAAGCAACCGCAAAGGCACTCAGCTCTACAATTGCTATTCTGACAGCATGGAAGAGATTCCTCAATAAAGAATGAGGCATTTCCGATTCAGCGGAACGGCTCTGGACCTATGCTGAACTCCGCTCTGAGACCAGCCAACACAGTTCTAAAATGGGAAGAATGGAAGGGTTGACTGCTGGAAACAGGACTTCCAAGTGAGCTGAGCAGTTCAGAAAGCAGCCTCCATGCTGGATGAAAAAAGCTTTCCTTTGTGTGCTTTCTAGCCGCACTAAGCAATCCCCTCCCCGTTACAGAATGGGGAAGAAACCATTCAATGAAGTCACTTGACAAGCAGTAATTCTCCCTAATTGGTTTCTTGCTGCTTGCTTGGGCTGAAAGAGCACTGGTCCTTCTAATTCAGGCTGCAGTTCATCATGCACAATTCCCACAGTAAGACCCTTCTATGAGTCGGCTCGGACGTCCTTGTCATTTATAAACGTGGTGTCAGAAAGGATGAGGTGCCCCTGGAATTGCAGCAACACTGCTCTACCCCGGAGTCGGTTAGTTACCTTTATCTTCTCTAATGCAGCCACCTACTGCAGTTAAGCAGGTAAGAGGATGGATGTAATTAGAGCGGGGAATACACCGTCCCCTGGCTTCACCAGAAATTACTTGTTTGACGTCTCAATTGTGTCAGTGGCACTTTACCCCACGAACAAACCAGAGACAGAGAAAACTAGGACAGCGACACTTCCTAAGTCAGAAAAAAGTAACATTAACCATTTTGGACCTCCCTGTCCTCCCCTTTAAGACCCCAGGCTCAGTGTATGTCTGTTTCCTGCCTGCAGGCTGTATTCACTGCTCTGCCCCTTCTCCCCCCAGCAGAAAGGGGCTTGTGAACACTGCATTTTCAAACAGAGGGACTCTCCCAAATTTCTAATGCTCCCATCACTGAGGCATCTGATGGATGCTTCTTTCAGACTGGATATCGCAGAGTCTGAAAAGTCACCTTCATGCATATGTTTATTGCTCTCACTGCAGGCTACCGCTGTCATTCAGGATCTCGGATAAAAGACCAACGGCAGGGTAATAAACAATGGGTATCCTTGCAACAAAACAGCAAAGGTAGTTCTGATTGTACAGCATATCGCTCATTTAACAGAGACAGTCCGGGCTCGCTGCACAGTAACATAGCACTAGCAGAGCGCTGCTTCATGCCTCACCTGAGAAAATACTGCTTCTGAAATTAAGTCATTGCCATCAGCAAATCCCTTACTTTCTTCTGTTGTTAACTCCACACTAACACAGGACTGTAACACGCACTCAAGCACTGAAGGTCACAGATGGAGTACATTTAGATATAAAATGCCCAGAGAGATTTGCAAGTTAGCAAAACAAAAAACAAAAAAACACAGCCACCAACAACCGCCCTCAAACAATGTGCGATGTTCTGTCCCCTTCAAACAATCTAACACAAACTGCTGAATTCTAGAGAAACCCAGACCAGCCAGCTCTTTAGAACTAGGGACAATTTCACGCTCACTGAACGATTGTTATTTCATGAAAACAAAAAGGACACCGATTACACACTGATCAGCGAGGCAGGAGAGGCAAAGACCCAGATGCACCTAAGGAATCCAAGACAGACAACAGAAAGGCAGACCCGAACTGACACAAGGGTTTGCAACTAAACAAAAGTTTCTTCATCTTGCATCTCGGAAATAAATGAGAGCCTCTAAATCAGAGAAGTATTAAACCAGAAGATACCTCTCCATGCGACTCCAGAAGAGCAGAATTGCTGGCATGTCAGCCGAACGGAGTCACCTGCAGCTCGATACCAGCAGCCAAGACCAAGTTTGGTAAGGCTGACAAGACAGCCTTAGTGAGGAGACTTTACCAGGGCAAGGAGAGCCACCAGTGCCCAGGCTGGCTGCCAGCCTGGAGTAACCATCCAGAAATGTCATGACTACACCAAGTGAATCATCGCTAGTTCCCACACAGCGCAGCCCCCAAAGCCCCCCCGCTAGTTAATTCCCCCGCATGGAACCGGCTGGAACACAGGGTCCAGGGATGTGAGAGCGGTAACGAGTTAACCCTTCCCCTGCCAGAGCCTCCCACACAACCAGGGGCAGCCACATCCCCTGGGGAGGGTTCGGGGGGACAGGGCAACACTCTGCCACCATTGCAATGGATACGTGGAGGGAACCTGACACTCAGACCTGTGCCATCCGCCGCGCATGGGGGGCCCTGACACTCAGCCCCTTGCCCCCCCCTTCCCAGGTGTGCATGGTGGGGGGGGCCCTGACTCAGCCCCGTGGCCCCCC